TCAAGAGTCAGATGCCTAACCGACTGAGCCACCCAGGTGCCCCAGGAAGTGATATTTAAATGCCAGTTATCCTTCTGCTGACGTAGTACAAGGGACTCAAAACTAAGTCAGAGAGGCAACCTCAATGCTATTGACATTTTGGGGCTGGATCATTCTTTGCTATGGAGGGAGGGGCTGTCCTATGCACTGAAGGATGGTCAGCAGTGTCCCACTAGGTGCCACTAGCAACTTTCCCAGGCATGACAACCCAAATTATCTCCAGACATTGCCCCATGTCCACTGGGGGTGGGGGGACACAATCATCCCCAGCTGAGAACCGCTGCTCTAAAGTGAGCTCCCTGTGAGTGGAGGCATGCGAGCCAAGGCTGTGAGACAACGGGGTGGGGAGACTCTGGGTCTGATTCAGGCTCTTGTGAAGAGGCAGTTCCTAACATCTCATTACACCCCCAGGATCGACACTTCTGTGTCGCTCATCAGGCAGCCTCATTTCTCCCATCAGCTGGCTGATGGCTCAGATCCAGGGTCTCTGCTCCCCTCCACTGCTTCAGATTACACTGTTCTAATCCACATCCGTGAAGAGGTAATACCGCACAGTTCTGAGAAACACAGACTCATCCATTTGGACAAAGTAATAAAGACCCCACACGGTGCTCTAAAAATTCTGCACATACTAATAATCCCATGGCATGGGTGACACATGGTCACCATTACTCCTACACGTTACGGATAAAGAAACCAAAGCACAGAGAGGTTAAGTAGTTTACCTAAGGCCACACAGCTAGCAAGTGGCAGGGCTGTGATCTGAACCCAGGGGCTCTTTCTACGCCCCTGCCTCGCTTCTGGTGGGTTGCCAGCCATTTCTGGCATCCCTTGGCTGGTAACTTCATCACGTCAAGCTGTTTTGGTCATCACGTGCTATTCCCCTACGTGTCTCTGTCTTCATATGATCACCTTCTTGTAAGGACCTCATCTTAACGAATTACATCCACAGTGACCTATTTCCAAATGAGGTTACATTCTGAGGAACTGAGGGGTTAAGACTTCAGGGGGGTGGGACACAATTCATCCGCAACAACTGGATAGTCCAGGATAATCTCCACATCTCAAAACCCTTAACTTCATCACATTTGCAAAGTTCCTTTTGCCATGTAAGGTCACATATCTCCAGGTTTCATGGATTGGGGTATGGACCTTTCTGTGGGGGCCAGGCATTATTCCACCTAACAAGTGAGGTGCTTATGTCCCAGCCTCCCGGGGCTGCCCTTCTGTAGCACTGGAGGTGACAATGGCAGGGGGCTGACAGAGTGTGAGAAAACTAATACTTTCCATGAAGAAGTTTAAGACTACGTTTTCATGTCTATTTTATTACACAATCCCAGCAGCTCAGGCACTAATAATGGAAAGAAAGACAAGGAACACACACTTGCAAAGAAACTGATAATAGTAACGGCTGACCCTTAGTGACAGCTTGCCACCTGCCTGATCTTGTTTTAAGTATTCTTCTTCCAGGACCTCGTGTGACCCTCACAGCACTACATTATCCCATTCTACAGAGGAGGAAACTGAGGCTCAGAGAGATTAAGGTATTTGTTCAAGGTCACACAGAATACAAACCCTGGATGTCTGGTTGCAAAAGTATTCCTTTTTTTTTTTTTTTTTTAAGATTTACTTATTTTTGATGGAGCACACAAGCAGCAAAGGGGCAGAGAGAGTGGTGGGGGGAGACAGAAGATCTGAAGTGACAAGACAGGGCTAAAACCCACAAATGGTGATATCATGACGTGAGCTGAAGTCGGAGGCTCAACCGACTGAGTCACCCAGATTCTCCACAAAGCATTCTTAAATTCTATTTCCCTACCATACACTACCTCCTATGCTGGATGCTGGGGAACAAAGACATGAGAAAGAAGTGGTCCCTGCACACAGGTGGGCGGGTGCTCACAGTCTAGTGGGGGAAATCGATCATTAGAAGGCCTTGGGTAGGGAACTGTAATTAAGATGCTATGGGG